AAAACATAATACCATTAATTTTTATTTTATTTTATATATATATTATTAAATAATATTTTTATTTATTAATATATTATTTTTACAAAATAAATAAAAAAAAATATCTATAAATATTAATTTTATCTGAACATCAATGAATAATATTATATTAAACATTAATTCAAAAGTTTTTTTAATAGTATTTAGCTTAATTATAATATCACATTCTTAAAATAAAGTACGTATAGAAAAATGTTTATATCATAGGTTTAAATAAAGTCATGTTCATCGGTGTGGATTTATTGTTTCTGGTACTAATGGAGCAATTCATGTTACAAGATGTAATACATATAAACTTTTAGGAGGATATGATGTATGTGGAAAAAATTGTGTTTTACAAAATACATTTAGATCAAATTTACCTGTTTATTAATATAAAATTGAATTTTAATATATTATGATCGATTAATGGGATGATAAGGTAGAAAATATTACAATAAATGGAGTTATTGCATAGACTCTTTAGAAAGATACAACTGCATCGACTAGTTTATGTGGAGGACCAACTAATGAAAAAATATAAAAGGTGGAAATATATTATTAAACAAGTGAAAGAATAATTAATGTTACATTTTCTAATAATTTAAATTTAGACGCTAGTATTTAATCTTTTGGAATAAATGAATTAATAGTTACTGGTTTTTAATGTATGTCTTAGTGTGCTTAATGTACTGATCATACTTCATGTGATTTATGCAATCCTGGATTTTTTTATAATGATTCTTAATGCATTAATTCATGCCCAGGAAGAAAATTCGAAAATGCAGTATCTAGAACTTGTGATGATTGCAATAATAGATGTGCAAGTTGTTCTGATGCGATTAATTGTGATTCTTGCTTTGAGAATAGAGTTTCTTAATAATGTATTTGTCCTTAATATTCCTATGATCCTAATGCTTTCGATTAAGCCTGTATTATATGTTCTACTTTTTCAACTGGATGTGCTACATGCAGTGCAACGGAATGTCTTACATGCATAGCCCCTTAATATTTTTAATTAAACCAAAATAAATAATGTGATTCATGCTTAAATATAACGAGTAAAATATATTTTAGTAATGATTTTGACTTTAATTATAGATTTTGATTATTATTATACTGATTTATAAATTTAACTTTTAATTTCTTATTCATAATTCTAGAGTTATTCTTAATAATTATAATTTACTTATTAGCTTTGTATAGAAACTTTAGATTAAACTTCAATTACTTCTAAATTATAAGGAAAAATTTTATGTTCTTTTAACTAATCTTAAAAAACACTTACAATTAAACTCGATACTTTAAGTACTATTAATAAGGATGATATAGTCAAAATAAAACCTGGGGTATTCAAACTAAAAAATAATGGATTTGCTTGTAATGATTTTCTTTAATAAATAACTGGCAAAGTAACTTTAGACACAAATCTAGTTATATAATTAACTTAAATAACCCCTATTTCTATATGTTAATAAACATAAATAATAATGTCAAGTATTTCTAATCATGGTAATAAAGAATTAAAATAAATTACTTGGTCACTCATTTCTTCTAATGCATATACGGCGGATGAAATAGCTTAAATAAATACGTAAATCTAATAATAAAATAACTAATTATTTTTATAATTATAGCCTTTATAATTGAAAAAACAAGGATAATACTAGTTCTAAGTAGATGTAATTTCCTATTTTAACCAAATAGGTACTGCCAATATAATAATCTAAACCTTACCAGATACATCAATTTATATAAGAGTAAAAACAAATCCAAATTAAATATAAAGAAGCAATTTAGTGAATATAAATGTTTATTTCAATCTTTATTAATGTCAAGATGATGGAGAAACATCTTATAAATAAACAGATGCATATCAAGTATAAATCAAATAAAAAGACAATTTAACTGAATAATTAAACATTAATTCCACATAAATACTTTAAGAAAAATAATTTTAATTTTAAATTTAGCCTTTTATTATGAAAGTAAACACAACATATAATATATAAATTACTGTTTCTTTAAAATCTAATCCTACTATTACCGAATAAATAGTATTCCCAATATAGGTTCTTTCTGATGTTCATTCGGTTTAAATTTTAGGAGGAAATAGATAATAATAATTTTCTTAAAGTTTTAATCTCGAAGGAAAAGTAGATGATCCTAATTTATCCCCTAATGAAAAAATTTCATTAAAAGAAACTAATTATGGAATAAATTTAAAATGGTAATGCATAAATCTAATTATTGGTGATGATTGTAGAGATTCATAAAATAATTTAATTATTTCTAATGTAACATAAAATCTATAAATTACCATATAATAAAAAATGTTAGAACCTTTTTAATAATATTAATTTATACTTTCAGGAACAAAAGATGGAATAACTATTTTTGATTAAATTATAATATCTATAATTGATTATGAGGTACCTTTTGTTTAATCTAATATTTCTATCAACAACTCTTAAAATAGAATCAATTTAAATTAAGAAATATTTATTTAGTTTGATTTTGAATAGGTTATTAATATTGATAACTTAATAATTACAGGATTTATTTTTTATTAAAATTATAAAAAGAATATAATAATATTAGGTTAAAATTAATTTATATTATAAGTCTGGGAATTATTTTTTGACTTTTTAGATTAAAAGTAAAATGAATTTGAATTAAAATTTTCAATTAGAAACATAAATTATATAGTACCTACATTAATATCTTATACTTTATATGCTAACATACCTCCTTAATAGTGTATTTTTGATTAAACTACAGATTATAAAGTTAGAAATCTTTAAGACAAAATAACTCTTTAAATAAATGAATGTAATGATGCTAATTAACCTCTATCTTATTCTTTCTATTTTTATAAAAATTAAGAATAATATGATAATGAAATATTGAATGCTTAATAACATATTAATAGAAATTTATTATCAGATTTCTCGCCAAAAAACAATATTAAAACTGTTCTTCCTTTTGGTGTTTCTTTAATTATGGGGGTAATATAAGATTCAAAAGGAGGAATAAGAAATATAACTTAATAAATTACAGTAAGCTAATATGATTAAGACAGTTCTTCATATTATAAATTTATTAATAGTTGGTTTGTATAAACTAAATAAAAATAATAAAATGAAAATAAAGTAATTTAGTATAATATGATTATTGAAGATATTATTAATCATAAAAATATTCTTTAATTAGATTCAAATACTTAATTTATATAATTATATATTAATATTTTAAACGAGATTCAGAATTTGTAAACCTTTTTTTATTAATTAAATGACTCTTTTAAATATTTTTTATAGACACAACTAACATTAAATTAAATATTTAATAACTTTCTCAGCTAAATGGCATCTATATTAGGATATAATAGAATCCAGAAATTTATTAATTTTATATAGCAAATAATAATCGATTAATAAATATTGATTAAGAAAGTAGTAATTTCTGACGCTACATAATATATGAATTATTTTTAATCTACTCAAGTTCTTATATTATAAGCACAATTAATTTAAAATATACAATAAGTTGATAGAGAATCATTTAATCATTAATAAAATTCAGAAATAGATACATAATATATATATATAATGAAAAAGATATCGTAAATTTTGAATATAAATATGATTTTAAACTAAAATCCTATAAAAGTTTTAAATATAATAACTTCTCAAACAACCTCATTTAAGACTTTAAGAGATAAATATTTAATACTGATTTCAGATACATAAAAAGATGGTATAAATATACACTAAAATTAAGAAACTCTAACATATTAAATAAATTATTTAGAATATCCTTCTTCTGTAATTAAATATGACGAAAGCTTTCCTTATCCAAATAATCATCCTTTTATCATAAATGAAAAGGAAATAACGTTTGTTTCTAATTAATAAAAAATAAATATTAATATCCCTTTATTCAACATTTACAATTTACCTAAAGCAGTATAAAATAATGGCGATTACGTCTGTATATAATATATTTAAGACAAATGGGTTACTTAAGATTGCTTACTTTTATATTATACTAATAAATAAAATGAAATTTAATAATTTATATGTTAATGTAAAACGCAAGGAAAATAGACTCTTGTTAATGACATAAATGCAATATATAAAAAAACAATTAATTTAAAAAATTAATATCTCTATACTTTATAGTAGACTTTAGTTATTATCAATGTAATTTATATGATGCTGATTATATATTTAAAATAAATTGATAAAATTTAATATTTATAAATGGAAGAAACAACAATAAATAAAAATTAAATTAAAGATATTATTTA